TCTCAAAATGGACCTTCATCCTTTCATACATCATTATGTATAGCTACAGTAACACAAGGTGATATGTGTCATACAATAAACATATCCTTTCGCTTCGCTGAAATTTCATATATCATCATGACCTAATTTAATTCAATCTCTCTCTCTCTCTATCTCTCTCTCTTTGTCTTTTGCACTATATAATCGTAGTGTCGAATTATATAAAGATAATTCTTATTCTACCGTTAAACGAAGTAAATCGTGATAATGATTACCAACTTCTTCATTTTTGTCAGAGTTGGCCTTGTACTTACGAGGGAACCTCCCGAGGTGATAAATCGCTTTTTGATCGACATCTAGTGGGCTATAGGTTATCGACCATGCTGATTCCGAATATAACCATGGGGCTTCCACATAGCTCTTCGAAGATCCAGTCTTCTGGAAAACCAGTTTTTCAGAAATCCCAAAAATTAACCCAAGCCTTTCTTAATAAATCAGGATTGCAGTGCGTAAATTTCTGATTAAAATGAAACATCTCCCAGTTCCACACGACCTTTCTTTGCAAAGTTATAGAATTTATAAGAAGAAAGGTCGTGTAGAGCTGGGGAATGTTTCATCTTAAGCAGAAATTTGCGCGCTACAATCCTGCATTATTAAGAAGGGCTTGGGATATATTTGGGGGTTTCTGAGAAACTGGTTTTCCAGAAGACTGGAGCTATGGGGAAGCCCCGTGATCATATTCGGAATCAGTATGGTCGATAACCTATAGCCCACTAGATGTCGATCAATAAGCGATTTATCACTTCGGGAGGTTCCCTCGTTAGTGCGAACGAAGGTATTTTCTAATGATATGCAATTACATCAGAACTTTTACCAACTTTAAGATGTTTTTTAATCATCATTTTCTTCGTGTTTAAGTTTCATCAATCCCATGTGAAGGCATACAGAACCAAAATTCTGGTTTTCTAAACCATGCACTGGTGTATTAAGAATAGATCATACATGTCTAAAGTCTCAATTCAATATTGGAATTACTGAGTATGAGAAATGCGATGAAGTGGATCTTACATGGGGTTGGTCAAGGAATAATTTGACAACTACAATCACAAGTCGTTATACTCAACAGCAAAAACCATTTATCATCTATCTGAAAAAACATACTCCTATTGATTATATCGGACATCCTGGTTTATATTGTATTACTAGTGATAACGAAACAGAAATAATCTTAAAGAATGATAACCAGCCCATTAAACAATATTCGGATAAAAGCTATCAGGTCGTTTTGAAATATCCATTTCCCCACGAGATTACTCTCTGGAATAGATTATCATTGATGGTAATTTCGCAGCTAGACAGAAACACTTTTCGACAGATTTTTCGCTCGAAATTCGACACTGTTTCAATTTCCATTGAAAAATTTCAAAAAGACATAATAGAGTAATAACGTAAAAGCGCAGGGAGGCATGAGAGTGAGTCGCCAGACCGCATTCAATGTCCACCCTCTAAGCCCCAAAGACGGTTGATAGTTTTTCCTAGAGACATAGTGAAATAGTGACGTAAAGACGTAGGGATTGTCTACGCCTCTATGTGCTTATGCTTTTACTTCTCTAGTAGAGAAGTGAAGCGAAAAATCTGTCGAATTTCTAGTCTGTTTGAAATTTTTCGTACGAAATTCGACAGTGTCGAAAATTTTTACTTGAAATTCGACAGGCTTTCGACACTGTCGAATTTCGAGCAAAAAATCCGACAGTGTCGAAAGCTGTCTGTCGAAAAGTAGAACTGTCGAAGGGCGATTAAACCTCATTGATTATTGGGTTAAGAAAGTATGAAAAGTTGTTTAGTAAATAAAAGAGCAGAACAGAAAAGGAAAGACGACTTCGTCGCAGCGATCCGATGTTTTAATTATTTCAGGATTATATTTATCTGCTAAGTAAAAATATATAAATGCTAAGTTGATTTTTGTTAAGTATAATTTCGATATGTTCAGTAAAAAAGTTAGACGCTTGATAAACTTATTGAATGCTCAGTTGAAAATAGAATTGCTCTGTAATTAAATTTTTCGTTAAGTTTTATAATTAATATATCAGTAAAATATTTAATTATTAAGTAAATAAAGTAATTTTATCAGTACAAAAACTAATTGTATCAGTAGAAAAACTAATTGTATCAGTAAAAAGATCTTAAGTGTGTGAATGTGAGCGAGAAGAAATAAAAAACGACTGTTACTCAGCGATATTGCTTAATATGATTTTAGAGTGGAAAAATACATGTACTTTTGATAGATGCGTGAAAGTACTAAAGTAAGTAACTAAAGGGTACAAACAAAAGGAAATACTCGATGATGTTGACAAGTTACAGTTATGTGAGTCAGAAATCGTGTTTCGGAATGCGTCATCCTTATTTTTGAAGAAATGGAGCAATGCGGAAAGAGAGTTTACAGAATATTTCGAACACGAATGGTTAAATCTTCTTGATTCCTGGTACGAAGGATACAGCAACTTCACACCAAGCACGAACAACTCATTGGAAGCAACAAATAAAGTGATCAAGGACGAACATACATTTAGCGAACGGCATCCATTAGCAAGATTTCTTACAATTGCAAATGATATTGTAAGTAAGTGGTCCACCGCTCGCAATCAAGATCAAACCGATCCAATTGTGTTTTCAACAGAACCAACAGTTAAACTTAAGAAATGGACGGATTCATATCATTTTGCAAAGTCTACAAAGACAATATTACAACTACCACCTAAGAAGAAACATTTAACTGATTATTACATACCAGCTGGTACGAAAGAGACTGTGACAAGAACTGAGATTCAAAAGTACAACAAGAAAAAGTGGAAATCATTCGATGAATTTAAAGATCTTCAATTTGGCATATGGAAATTAACTATGCCAAACAATGGCTCAGAGTGGTCTAAAGGAATTTGCAATTGCCCGAACTTTTTCAAGGAATATATTTGCAAACACGTGGTTGGTATGGGAATTCGACTGAAATTTTACAAACCACCTCCTGCTACAAAGGATATTCCTATAGGAGAAAAAAGGAAAAGAGGACGACCTCGAAAAATAACTAAAGCTCTCATAATAGACTAACTTTGCATTTATATTTTCTACTTGGATATTTCTCTTTCTTTACTTAGCAAAATTTGTTTATTTACTTATCAGTTTACAATATTTCACTTAGAAAATCAACCTTATTTTACTTAGAATTCAAATAAAATACTTAGCAAAAATCACTTTTTTACTTAGAATAATTTTTAATAGATTACTTAGCAAAAATTGAATATTTTACTTAGATTTTGTTTAAAATTACTTAGCCCTTAAATGGGTGCCATTATTTCATTCTTTTTTTATCGAAAGTACAGTTATATTGAATGATTTTTAGCTAGATCAAGAATGTGACTCGTTGAACGAAGTTAAATCATCGCTGTTAATTGGGTTTCGTAGAAATTTCGATTTCATGAGAGTGAGTGACCACATCAAATTTCATTTTGAGTTTCGGAATATTTATGCTTGCGCTGATCAAGTGTTAGTCGTTCTTTACATAAAAGTATTCTAGAAAGGAAAATGTTGTGAGAGATGCACAATCACTCAATTAATGACTGCATGCATGTCATACAGAATAAGGTCTGTAGCTGTACATATGAGCACAACAGACGTGTAAACGTCACTCAGAAAAATGTGTAAGAATAAAACATTTTGGTTTCTTACTGGTTTTGTTCTTAATTTGGCCACATTAACCAAATGCAGTCATTTACACATGGTTGAATGGAGCATCGAAAGTTACATCTAGTGACATGTTTTTTTATCTTCATCAGTTCATATTAGTAGAGAAAAAAGATTTTAATATTGTAAAACTGGCTCGAAAATGGATATTATGGATCGAAAAAGACATTTTTCTCCTACTTTTCACAATTGAAGCGTTTTATTTTGGTGCTTTCGTAAAACTGCATATGACTCAATTTTAGCTACTCATGTCAAAGCTTGATAAAAGTATAGAACTAGAGTGAACTCATTTCAAAAATGATAACTAAAGCTGCTTCAGGTTTGGAAAATCGATTTTCTAGAGTCAAACGTTTCGTTTCAGGTTTAATCTCGATGCATCAAAAACTCATTCGCGAATGAGATTCCTCTGTCACTCTTACGCTGCTTACTGCCATCACGCTGCTCTGAGGACGTATTCTTATTCTCCACACAAGACTGAGCTTCGACGTAATGGTGTCAACAGCTTCTTCGTGACACCGGCGGTGGTGTCATAGACTCCAACTAACACCAGTCGTGATGTCAGAGGTAGACAGGTCCAAGCCCGGACTTGAAGGTCCTTTTGATGGACTTGAACATAGCCGTACTTGCTGCACAAGTTCGCGTCCGGACTTGAAGGTTTTTTTATTGGACTTGGACTTGATTTGCATTCGCTTGAAACGTGTTTTTCTGGCACAAAACGTGATTTTGATAAAATTCATCGAAAGGGGAAAATTTGACTTCTTCGCGTTAACACAGGAAAATAAATGAAAGTATTAGACTGTTTCTGTTAGGAAGTAATAGAAGAACTATTTTGCTTTAAAATAAAATAAATCCAAGCTCAAAATGTTGGATTCTGGCTGAGTTATAAAGAATTTCTTATATGTCTCAAACCTTCCATTTATCGTTTTGTTTTTCGGGTATAGCATCTTTCCTATAAACTTTACACCGATGAGATTTTATTCCAATCATCCTGCTGCTCCATTCCACTCTAGGTGTTTCAGACATCCTTTTCTTTTTGTGATCTAAATTAAAGATAGTTCTATCGTTTAAGAGCTCCCTTAGAATCGATGATTTTCTAAAAAAACAGAAATTGAGTTTATTGCTCAGTTGGATGAATTTCGCTTCTTATTCCAGGAAACGCTGAAAAATCCTATCTCGGATTTCTGGAGTTTTTCACAGTTTTGACCTGAAGTTTGCGCAAAGAAATGAACGAAAGCGAAATTCAAAAATTCATTCTCTGAATTTTTATATCTAAGTGTCTACTTTCATTTGAAACCACCTACACCGTTGATTTGACGATCATCACGATAGAGTAATGCTGTTTCTAGATTAGTTGGATTCAGTGGACTTGGGTCAATAAGAAGAATTCGAATTGAATTGAGAATGGATAGAACATCCAATGATGGTGTCCATTCGTCTTTAAGAATATCCACACAAATGAGACCGTCATCATGCCAAACGTTTGGATGAAATAATTTTGATGTAAAACGAACTTGAGGTGGTCTATTTGGATAATCTTCGGGAAAAGAAGTTGTAATTTGAATCCACCTTTTTCAAATATTGTGTCTTCTGGACCACATATAATAGCATTCCATACAAACAAATTGTCAGGAGATGGTGATGCATCTATACCATCAACTTTATTCTTGAGTATATTACGTAAATCTCGTCGAAGTCGACGAATAGCCATTTTACAGCAAATATTCAAAACTATGTCCAGCTTACATATTCTAGCAGACGTTAACCTCAACTTGTCTCTTGTCAATGCAATGATCTGCATAACTTGATAGATAAAGAAAACTTCTCATTTTCCGAAGAACTATTCAGTAAATTAATTTATATTTTAAGAAATAAATTCTGATTTTAGTGGAAGAAAGAGAACGAGAGAAATATATACCGCGTTGAAAGCGTGCTTTCTGAATCTATCCCGATTAGAAAAAAAATTTGAAGAACGGTACTAGTCGTTTATTACACCATTGTCTCTGATGAAATACCTGTCGTTATAATGTATCGCTACGAGACCCTTGTTTGCTCAAATTTCAGCGAAACCTGGCTGATCACTTAAGGGCCGCTTCCTCCTCAGAAATGATGACCCTTGGACAAAAAATCCATTCTGCGATAAGCATATAGAAAGATAGCCTGAAGTGTCTACTTTCAGAATCTATGCTTTCAGTTACAGAAGTGATTTTTCGCGGCTTTCAAGCAAGTTTTCTCGGAGCTCCGAAAAATCGGATCTTCAGATAATAGTTTTTTCCTGGATAGTTATGTAATTAAATTCTTTTCTCAATGCATAGACTGTAGAACAAACTTTTTTAATCAAAATAAGACGTTGCACAACTCTGTATAACTTTGCGTTAAAAAACTACAGGCGTTTTCCTAAAGCTCTGAAATTGAGCATTTTATACAGCGTTTTCTCTACATGTGAGTTACACCTGGAGTATTTCTCAAAATTTTTTAATATACTTCAAGCTAGAGAGTTTGGATCTGTTTTATTTTAAGCTAAATATCTAGCTAAATGGGCTGACCGGCGCCGATTTTTCAATTAGATCTTAGTTTTTTGTCAAACTGGGGATTTCCAGAAAACCAGGAAGCGTTTTGTGGGTTTTTGAGGTTGTTGGTTGTGTACAAAACGAACAAAGACCTAATTTAAAAATCGGCGCCCGTCAGCCCATGTAACTCGGTATCTAGTTTAAAATAAAATGAACCTGAACTCTCTAACTTATAGTATATTAAAACATATATGGTGAAACCTATTTCGAAGTATCTCAACCAAGTATTACGACCGATATTTGAAAAACATACAAGGCATTACAATGTGAAAAACACATTGGAATTCCTTCATATATTAGACACACAGACGATAACAGCAGACACGCTACTATGCACATTTGATATAACGGATCTCTATACAATGATTCCACAAACGGGATCTATTGCGGCTATATGTCAGTTACTCGGAAACACACATAACAGACGCGTCAATGGCATTTCCATTGACACATATGCCACACTCATTCGCCACGTGTTGAAAAATTCTTTCTTCTGTTAAATTTTTTCAACAAACTCGTGGAGGAGCTATGGGGTCCGCAGTCACCCAAGTCCTCGCCGACGCATACATGTGGCAATGGGAATGCGCATGCATGAGTGAACAGGCAGAGAACCAACAGTTATATGTAAGATTTCGCGACGATATCTTTTTTACGACTAACCAAACTCGACGCGAGATTGAACGACGGCTAGCACGACTCAACGAACAAGACGAACATATCAAACTTACATTTGATATAGGTAAAACAGTCCCATATCTAGATGTTTTGGTTTCAGCCACTGTGCCACAAACCACCACATCTATATACCGAAAACCTGCTGCTCAGCCTTATATACTACCATTTGATAGTGCCCACCCACCACACATAAAACAGAATATCCCGATCTCATCTTACATCAGAGCTATTCGAATATGCTCTGACGCCAAAGAGTGTCAAACTGAATTCTATCGAATTAGTACGCGCTTACTCATAAACAAATACCCACCACAATTCATTGACAAACAACTAACTCGTTTACTGAGTGATTTGCATATAGAAACTGAGCAAGATCTGTTGACGTAATATTCAAACATTCGACAGCGGCTCCGACATCCAAATTGCAGACAGAAAGACGCAACCATACGTCAGAGATAGCCCATTAATTGGACTTCTGACCTACTCATCCATTTTTCGTATACACCAGCATTGCGTTACTTCGCTCAGCATTTCAATCGCGCGTGGAAACCTACTTTTTTCGATACACTGCTCGATCATTTAAACACGATTATAGGTTATCGTATCACACCTAATCTTCGACATACTCTAATTAGGAAAAAACCTCCTAGACATATTTTACGTGCAAAACCTCCCCCTATAAAAACAAAAGCTTGTATCATTTGAAAAACTCAAAAATCTATATATATATATAAAGAAGAAAGTTTGTTTGTTTGTATGTTTGTTCTCTATGCCTTCAGTCCCTGTAAGAGCTAAAGCAGCCAAAATTTGCATGGCACACCCTTGGGTCCAGGGGAAGGTCAAGACGGGGTCGGCGAGACCGAAGGAGGNGATTTTTATGTTCTCCGATTTCTGAGGTACTTGCACCTTGCTGTTATATCTTCGCACTGCCCTTGGTCAAGGGCTACTTTTCAATATAAAACTTTTATCTCTGGGGTACTTAGTAATCCGATCGTTGGACCGCTACAGTGAGCCTCATCGGAGAAGTCCGAAGTGGAATTATTTTCTCGATAACTCAGTGGGGTGTTTCGACAGCGGAGGGATGGAGAGGAGAAATGAAGTGGAGGAGTATTATTCCCCCCCTACTCGAAAATTTTGGTTTTCTATATTTGGCTGTATATCTATATATAT